GCAGCAGCTCAGCCGGTGCGGCTCAGTGGTTGAACGTCAACCCATGAACCACGAGGTCACCAGTTCTATTCCTGGTCAGGGCACATGCCCGGGTTGTGGGCTCGATCCCCAGTAGAGGGCGTGCAGGAGGCAGCCGATAGATGTTTTTCTCTCGTCGATGTTTCTATCTCTCTATCCTTCTCCCTTCCTCTCTCTCTAAGATCAATAAAAATTTTAAAAGAACAATAATGAAAACAAAGATACCCAGGAAAGCTGAGAGTCCCTCTGACGTGCGGGGGGATCCGTCCGATGCACAGTCTCATCCTCATGGGTGGAAATGCCATGGATGTGATGGGCTTTGCCCTCACCTGTGAAAAAACAGGTTTAAAGGAGAGACCTCTCTCTACCTCTCTCCTGGCAATTCGGGTGACGCTGGAGGACCTGGCTGGGTAGAAGGGACCCTGCCTGACGGGGGAGAGGCTGGGCTTGGCTGGGAAGTGCCATCCTGTGGGAGGTCCGGGCGGCCAGCACAGATCAGTGCCAGAAAGCAGACGTTAGTGCTAAACTAGGGAGCAAGTCCGATTGGCTGTCTGCGTCTAATTTGCATCAAGCCAGTAAACTTGATCAATTCTAGGTCCACAGACACATCACTGGGTATGTGGTTACTAAACACAGCGCAAATGTGCTGAACAAACCAACAAAAAGCAAGGTAGGAATCATCAAAGGGCACGAGGACAATCATCTTGCACAAAATGCCGTAGATTTTACACGTGCTCAATGCTGAAACTTGGAACTTGGAGATTAAAAAGCTAAAGGAAGGCAATGTTTAAATGTGATAGCAACAATGAAAAACGCAATGCCACAAACCAGAAAGGCCTTAGATCAATTTGTTTTAAAATCCTGAACTACAAAATGATGATAAAATATCTGGTCTCAAATGGACACTAGAATACCCAGCGGTAGGCAAGTTGGCACTGGCCTCTCAGCCTGTTTCCTTGTTGGTAACGGGGCATGAGCCTGTCTCCCGGCTCGCGGGCACCTCACATGGGCGAGCACTGGGCGGTGTGCTCAGCCCCAGCGGGTTTACCTGCCCTGGCTCGTCGCCGTTGCCAGAAGTACAGGATCACCAGGAGGGCCAGCACCACCAGCAGCAGGAGCACCACCATCACGCTGAGGATGACATTCCCGTGGCCTGGGGGGCTTGGGAACAAGGACCAGCCAGGTGAGGCGAGAAGGCGCCAGGCTTCTGTGGGGAACTCATCCCTCCCCAAGCCTGTGGTCTGGATGCTCCTGCTGAGCTGGCCAGGAGACAGCCCCAGGCCAAGGTCTCTGCCTATCCCGCCTCTGGGCGTGTTTCCTTCCCCCTCTGTAAGCAGGTTTGCTCTGACTGCGTGCTGTCCCCTATCTGGCCTTCAGGGCCCCTGTTTTGGGATCTGTGCTCACCTCTCCGGCATCTTCCCTCAACTGCTCTTGGTCCCAGGCCCTCACCCTCAGCCCTTGGCTGAGAGATGCAGTCAGCTCTCGGAGAATACGGGTGTCCTTTGACAAAGAGCTCTGTATACAATAAATGCATTCTCATAGGCCCTGTCTTCAGTCAAAGGAAGAAAAGGTAGACTTTCTCACAACACAGCAGGCTCCTAGCGAAGGTGCCTGGTGTGTCAGGTGTCGTGGGGGGAGGCAGCAGCTCTGGGGACACCGACTACTCAGCTACACTGACCAGCACCCTTAGTGTCTGGTGCAATGCCTTGGAGAAGGAACTGGAGTTTGCAGGGGCTCATGATTTGCATGACAGAGGGTGGAGAGAGGGTGGGCAGACAGAGGTGGGAAGAAAACCAGCCCTCAGGCCAGTCTCAGGGCCTGGGGGCCTGGGAACCATGCGGCAGAGGTAGAGGAGTCAGGCCATGGGCTGCGGTCACTGTGATGAGCCTTTGCCTGGACCCTGTGGCTCCCCTGAAAGGAGGAGATGGGCTGGAGCAGGGCAAAGGGAAAAGGAGCAGGCCAGGCACTGGGTCTGGAGACATTTTCGGTTGCCTGGGTACCTGGTACAATGGGTACCTGGGGGAGGTGTGTGCTATTACTGGCTAGTGGGTAGAGGCCAGGGATGCACACGACAGCCCCTCCCAACAAAGAATTGTCTGGCCCCAAATGTCAATAGTGGCAAAGGTAGCAAACCCTGTCCTAAGGTGGGAAAGTTACTGACTCCATTTTACAGATGAGAAAACTGAGGCTTGAAGAGGTAAAGTGACCTGGAAAGGGCCCCATTTCATCCCCCTGAGAGCCAGGTGTCCATGGGAATGTGTAGTTGGAGGTATCTGGCATGGCTGGCAATGGATGGGAGGGAATGGAGGTGTAAGAGGACAGGGAGGGGGGACAGTACCTGTCAATGACAGGGCTGATGGCTAAGGTCCCGGCTGTGGTCCCGGTGGTCCTGGTGGTCCTGGTGGTCGTGGTGGTCCTGGTGGTCGTGGTGGTGGGCGGGGTTGGAGCTGTGAGAGACGACAGTGAGGGGAGTACTCCTCTCTGTTAGCCCCACACCCCAGGGCTCGGCCTTCCAGCCCCAGCCCTGGGCGAGAGGAGCCCACGCATGGCCTGGACCAAGCGAGGCCTGAGAAGCACCACATGCCCTGCGAAGGCATGGAGGCGGGCAGTGCCCTCAGGGAAGTGGCTGTAGAGGAGACATCATGCTGTCGCTTGTATGCTGGCTGTATTCTATGGTCTCCTCTGTTTCCATTGTTTTTTAGCGTGTCGTGCACGTTCAACCTGCAATACCTCCCTCCTCCCCTCCAAACCCTTTTGCCACCCCTGGATAAATTCCTGCTCACCAACCAGGCCCCTGCAGTGTCACCTCCTCGGGGGAGTCCTGCAGGCAAGTCCATACTCCTGGCCTCACCAGCAACCTGGCCCCCTCCCTCCTCTGGGCCTCCATCCAACATGCCTCCATAATGCCACCCACCACCCTGCATCATAAACTTTTATTCATATCTCTCAGGGTTCCCATTCCCCTTCCAGGGCCTGGCCCCGTGCCCGACATGCAGTGGGCAATGAGCCCAGGCTTGGGCAGAGAATGATCGAGCAGCTGATGTGTGTGCACCAGGCCCCCAGCTGACCGAACAGCTGGACAAGCTCGGCAGCCGGGTGGGGGTCTTCGAAGGTACTGTTTAACCCTTGAACATCACGGGGAAATGTAGGGGGGCTGTGCACCTCTGAAACTTTCAGGAGGCATATGGGGGAGTGGCCCAGGGTTAGGAGGAGCCTCAAGCCTCCCAAGCTGAGGCTGAAGATCACTCAAGTATCAGGGGCGGGTACAGGGTGGGACCCAGGCCCACTGAGCCCTTGGCCCCTGCAGCTCCCAGCCTCACCCCGAATCCCACATCTGCTCACTGTGTGTGTCCCCTGCCTGTCCGCATTCCCTGAGCCCACACAGTCACCTGTGACCCGCCTCAAGCACAGCCCTTGGAGAGAAAGTGGGATTAGGATCAGGGGGAGGGGTGCCCGGAATGGACCCATAAGCCAGGTTTGTGCAAGCCATCTGCTCACTGTGTGTGTCCCCTGCCTGTCCGCATTCCCTGAGCCCACACAGTCACCTGTGACCCGCCTCAAGCACAGCCCTTGGATAGAAGGCTGAGATTAGGGTCAGGGGGAGGGGTGCCCGGAATGGACCCATAAGCCAGGTTTGTGCAAGCCTGAGGCAGCTTGGTGATGGGTAGGAGTCAGCAGGGAGCCCTGTGAGCAACAACAAGTGTTCGCAGAAGTGTGTGCACTGGGGAAGGGAGAACCGAACTAAGATGGCAGTCTGAGTTCTGGCGCTGGTTCTGCCTGTAACCAGGGGCGACCTCCGGAAGGGGCCCAGGGTTCAGCCACGAGGGCTGGGGGACCTGATTAGGTCCTTTCCAGCATCAGCTTCCTGTGGTTCAGGGAACCTGAGAAGCACAGACAAAGGGAAGGACTCACCCCGAGAGACCGCCAGACGGACGGTTCTGAGATTAATGACCTGGGGAGATTCATAGAGTCCACACGAATACAAGCCCGAGTCCGTCTCTGCCAGCGCAGTCATGGTGACGGTGAAGTACCCCAGGAGGGGGTAATCCCTGATGATGTATCGTGGGTTTCCAGGCTCCCGGCTGCGCCTGGGATGGGTGACTAATAAGGCACAAGTTCCTGCTGGTGTTACTCTGCACCAGGTTTTCTTCTTCCAACCTTGCTGGGGTGGATAATTGCACCTTAGGAAGACTTCCTCCCCTTCCAGTTTCCGCAGCGGCTCTGGCTGCTGTTCCCAGGAGCCTGAGAATAAACCCTCAGGTCAGGGAGCCCCCTGCCTGCCTCAGAGCTGAGAGGGGCCCCCTCCTCAGGAAGTCCTCCCTGCTCCACTCAGTGCCCCCCTCCATCCCTCACATCCCCTGCTCACAAGCCTCCCGCAGCCTCGCCCCTCCTTCGCACTCGCCTCAGGCCACCTCACTAGCATCCCTCCTCCTCTTCCCCTCACCTCTGCCCTCACCTGAGGCCAGGAGCACCAGCAGGACAAGGGGCAGCAGGTGCGGGGCCTCCCAGGCCATGGCCCTCTTTCTGAGCTGGTGGCAGCAGCCGCCCTGAGGAGAGGGCGCCAGAGCTAGCAGGGTCAGCAGCCGCCCAGCCTGTCTGGGAAGAAGAGCTGAGGAAGGCAAAGACTGCAGGTGGGGAGGGGGCAGGGAGTAGGGAGGCCTGGGCCTATGCAGGACCCGCCCCTGTCCGCTGCCTCTGGGCCTGGCTGGGGGCTCTCTGGGCCAAGCCTGCCTGCTGCTCCCTCCCCTGGGTGTGGGGAAATGGGTGAAAGCCCCAGAGGAAATGGTGGTGAAATAAGAAGCCATTTCTCCTCCCTCTTTCTCTCTGTCTCCGCCTCACCTTTCTCCTCGCCACCAAGAACAGCAGGGCTGAGGGGAGTGACAGAGGCAGGGGACCCTCTGGAGGCCCCAGTGCTCAGTGGCCTCCTGCCCTGGCTGCTGGGAATTGGGGCGTCCTGTGGGGACTGGAGGGCAGGGGGGAGGAGGGGGGAGAAAGGGGGTCTCTGTCCTCTGTGTCCCCAGCTCCCAGCTGCCACTATCACCACTCCTTAAGCCTTTGCTGAAAGATCATATTAACCAAGCTCATTTAAAAAGTAATTTGTACTTTACATCCCTGTGACTAACAGGGGACCTCGCCAATAATATTGCAATAACTGGGTGTGGTGCCAGGGGGGCACTGACATGCTGGGGGACCACTTTTTAAAGTATGTGACTGTCCACCTCTATTCTGTACACCTGAAAGCAACACAAAATCACACGGAATGCAAACTGGAACTGAAAAATAAAAATCCTAATATATAAAAACCCTGGGTCCATCATAACCGAAGGCTCGACCAACCAGAAGTCAGTCCTGCAATCAGCCTGGGTTGCCATGGCGACCCAGCACTGACTGCTGAGGGGGCTGCGAATCAGGCCTGGAGAGAGGCCTGAAGAGAGAAGCAGGGTCTGATCTGTAGCCTGTGTGGCAGCTGTTGATCAGCACTTGCCTCTCTCTTTCTCTCCCAGCAGGGCCAGCAGCTGCGCCTCCATTTCTCTCAAGGCCTCCACTGGGGCTGCTGATCAGCCCCGCCTTTCTGATCAGGCCCCGTTGATAGGCCCAGAGATGCTGACTGCATAGAAACTGACCAATTAGAACAAAATTTGGGTGAACTGTGAGGAGCCAATGGCTGCCGAGGAGGCGGAGCTTTTGACACTGACTGGCATAGAAACCGACCAATCAGAACCAAATCTGGGTGAACTGTGAGGACCCAATGGCTGCCTAGGAGGCAGAGCTTTTAATTCTGACTGGCTCTTCCCCTCCCCTCTGCCCTCACCAGAGGTCAGGAACACCAGCAGGACAAGGGGCAGCTCCCAACTGCTCTCCCTGCCAGCCTGATCTCCCCCTCAACCATTTAACCCTTGACCCACTAGCCAGTAATAGCACACACCTCCCCCAGGTACCCATTGTACCTGCAGGGGAGGGCAGTTAGGGGCGATCAGGCAGGCAGAGATAGAAACCGGCCAATCAGAACCAAATTGGCCGGCAGAGGAGGGCAGTTGGGGGCGATCAGGCTGGCAGAGGAGAGCAGTTGGGGGCAATCAGGCAGGCAGGCAGGTGAGCGGTTAGGAGCCAGCGGTCCCAGATTGCGAGAGGGATGTCTTTGATTGGAGAGGTTGCAGACTGGGCTGAGGGAACCTCCACTCCATGCACAAATTTTGTGCACTGGGCCACTAGTCCTATATAACAAAAGGGTAATATGCAAATTGACTGAATGGGGGAACAACTGGTCGCTATGATGTGCACTGACCACCAGGGGGCAGGTGCCCAAATCAGGAGCTGCCCCTTGGTGGTCAGTGTGCTCCCACAGAGGGAGTGCTGCTCAGCCAGAAGCTGGGCTGACAGCTGGTGAGCGCAGTGGTGGTGGTGGGAGCCTCTCCTGCCTCCATGGCAATGCTAAGGATGTCCTACTGCCAACTTAGGCCCGCTCCCCACGGAGAGTGGGCCTAAGCCATCAGTTGGACATCCCCCGAGGGCTCCCAGACTGCAAAAGGGAGCAGGCTGGGCTGAGGGATACCCCTCGCCCCTGAGTGCATGAATGTCGTGCACTGGGCCTCTAGTTAAAATATAAAAGAAAAGAATCTGTCATTGGAGGAGCTACAGGAAAACAATTGCCATGGCCGCGTATAGTCACTAGACAGACAACCAAGTCAGAGAGCCCTGCACATGCGCAGTGTGGCCTGTGGGGCTGACAGGGGCAGACTCCCGAGGCAGAGACTGGCATGG